AATCATGTGAATCAGATAATGTATATTGTTAGTATTGCTGTCCTTTTTGGAAGGTTTTTCAGATTAAAGAGTATTAATTGGTATTTGCCCCACTTTATTTCTTTGAAGATACTTATAGTTTTAAATGAGTAAATTGTTCATTAGATGAGACTCGTCATAATCTGAATTTTAATTCTATTAAATTTAATCTATTAAATTCTTGGAGAGAAAAATATACTATTGTGAATACATTTATCTAATGTAAAAATCAAAGTAGAGAAATAGTGAATATTTTGGATTAAATATTTTTGATGGGGTTGTTATTAAATGTAAATTAGCAATAGTGATTCATAAATTAACAATAGTAATTCAAAGCATCCCTTAAAAAATCGGTGGTGAGGAGGGTGTGGGAGACCTGGTAGGGCATGATCAAGGGTAATGTAACCAAGAGGAATTGCTGAAACCCTGGTGGGGACTGAGCATGATAGTGGGACAGGAGGAAAGTAAAAGGAAATAGAGGAAAGAACTGGGAGGCAAAGGGCATTTATAGAGGTCTAGATAAAGACATGTACATATGCAAATACATTTATATATGAGGATGGGGAAATAGATCTATGTTCATATATTTATAAGTTTAGTATTAAGGTAGCAGAAGGACAATGGGCCTCCACTCAAGTGCTCCCTCAATGCAAGAATACTTTCTTCTATTAAATTGGCATTCTATGAAGCTCACCTTCCTGACACAACCGCTGAAGACAAAGCGGGTGAATAGGTAAATGTGGTGAAGAAAGCTGATGGTGCCCGGCTATCAAAAGATATAGCACCTGGGATCTTAAAGGCTTGAAGGTAAACAAGCGGCCATCAAAGGCTTGAAGGTAAACAAGCGGCAACAAAGCCCACATGGAAGAAGCACACCAGCCTGTGCGATCACAAGGTGTTGAAGGGATCAGGGATCAGGCAATCATCAGAACAAAAAATCTTACCATAGTGAATGAGGAGGGGAGTGTGGAGTGGAGACACAAAGCCCATTTGTAGGACACTGGACATCCCCTTACAGAAGGGTCTTGGGTAGTGGACGAGCCAGTCAGGGTGTGATGTAGCAATGATGAAAAATACAACTTTCCTCTAGTTCCTAAATGCTTCCTCCCCAGCCCCCCACTCCCACTATCATGATCCGAATTCTACCTTGCAAGTCTGCTAGACTTGTACACTGGTACAAGTAGGAACTGGAAACACAGGGAATCCAGGAGGGATGATCCCTTCAGGACCTGTAGTGTGAGTGGCGATACTGGGAGGGTAGAGGGAGGGTGGGTTGGAAAGGGGAAACCCAATTACAAGGATCTATATGTGACCTCCTCCCTGGGGGATGGACAACAGAAAAGTGGGTGAAGGGAGACGTCGGACAGTGCAAGATATGACAAAATAATAATTTATAAATTATCAAGGGTCCATGAGGGAGGAGGGAGCGGGGAGGGAGGGGAAAAAATGAGGACCTGATGCCAGGGGCTTAGGTGGAGAGCAAATGTTTTCAGAATGATGCAGGCAATGAATGTACAATGTGCTTTACACAATCAATGTATGTATGGATTGTGATAAGAGTTGTATGAGCCAAAAAAATTTTTTTCTTACAATGATCTGAACATGAAAAAAATTTTTTTCTTTTGATTATGTGGGAAGAAAAAATAGGAAATGATTTTTTAAATCTATGTTTTCAAAAGACTTTTCAACTTAGTATCCTGTAATTTCATGTCACTCTAATTCAACCAGCATTCATTAAACACCCTATTTATTATACGCATGGTACTCTACTGAACCAAACAGAACATAAGGAAGAGTAAAAACTTTGTGTCTCTCTCCTGAGAAGTTTTTGTTTGAATAAATAGGTTTGGATGTAGAAGTAAATGAACTCAAGGTTGACCAAATGAGTGAGGAGTCTTCAGTCTGTTTAATGCTCTTGGGATCAATGGACAATAGAACAGGAGATTGACAAACCAGACACAGGATGCAGATCCAGTAGAAGGTGATGAGTACTCAGCTCTGCTATGGTTCTCTCATTTATGCCAAAGGTGACCTCTCAAGGAAATGTCATCAAACTGAAATATGATTGATAGGTTGGGCTCTGCCACTACATTCACCAGGAGTATCTAGTTGACATAAACTCTAGTCATCAGAGCAAGTAAGACAAAAGAAGAGGTTTGGAAAATATTTTCATGCTGGAGACGTGGTTCACTTTCCCCTTTTGACCTAGGGAAATCCAAACATATGAGTAAGGCTATCTAGGACCAAAAAGTTCCCAGCTACCCTTCTTATGATGTTTCTAGATGCCATCCAGTTAGAGACCACTGACAGTGACCCTATATACAACAGAACAAAATGTTGCCCAGAATTTTTTCAGCTCCTTGTCAATGCACTTCTGCAAATGCTCTTGGATGGTCTTCACCAGCATTTTATTTGTATGTCATATTGTGTTAGTCTGGGTTGACTAGAGAAACAAATCCAGGGACACTCATATATGTGTAAGAGAGAGCATTATATCATAAAGCAATTGGATTTTGAGAAGAACATCCCAGCCAGTCCAGATCAAGTCCATAAGTTCGATATTAGCCCATATGTCTGATTCTGGTCTATAAATTCCTCTTCAGACTCACACAACACATGCAATGCAGGAATTCGGGAAGATCACATACTGGTGGGTGAAAAGTCTCATGGATCCAGTGGCAGTGGAAGCATCTCAGCGCTGGGGAGGGTCTCTTGTGGCTTCTCAAAAGGAAGGTGAAGCAGAGAGAGAGTGTGTGTCCCCCCTCCCCCCAGAGAGAACAAGAGGAAGTTCCCAGTACCCTGATGAGAAGGTTATGCCCAGCAGAAAGCATCATCAGTCTGTGACCTGATTGACAGGCTAAACTCCATCTCTTCACTCTTAATAACCTGAAGTTGACATGAGATTATTTAACCACCACAGACCACCCCTTGTCAAGTTGACACCTTTACACCACTCTAGCCATACATAATTTTTTAAACAAAACAATAATAAAGTAAAATTTGTAACTAACAGGATAAAACTAAAATGCATACAACTCAAAATGTGCCAGCCTCATTTAAATATGATATTCTATAAGTGAACAAAACAAAAATATTCTATGCCTAATAATGGCAGCTATGTGAATACCTACATCATAATCCCATAATCCTATGCATATGTTCCCCCACCTATGAAAGTTTGTAAGTCAGCCACTTCATACCTTTATCCCCCCAATTTTGGGTGTCCAATTTCTATATGTCCCAATTATCAACCCAGTTCTCTGAGAAGACAGGCATGTTCTTTGATATGAAGAAACTTTGTTCCAGTTGGGAACCTGTGAGTCTGCATCCATAAGCAAAGTCAAATCAGGACAGGATATCCATGAAGTTAGCAGCAATATGCACCAATTGACAGGCTAAAAACTCTTATCTTCATCTGGTCAGGTTCTGGTCAACTCAGTGTGGGCCACCTCACTTAGCTTCACCAGGGTTCCCATTGGTTGACTTGCATTTCAACCAGGGGCTCTGGCACAAATTCTCAACAACTCTAGCCCCCTTGCGCTATATCATGAATTTCATTCAGACCAGCCAACCTGCTCTCATCTTCTCTTCTAATCCCTGTGAAACAGATCCACTGGTGTCAGTGGATCAACTCATCTCTCTTTTGCTGCTTTTCCCTTACCACTAAACAACTGGTCATTTAGCATGCTTTTCAGGCAGCCCACAGGCTCCCTTTAAAGTTCAGTCCTAGAGAGGAAAGTTCCTTCACGGCTCCAAATTTTTCCAGCTTTAGGCACAAACCACTAGTTCCAATTTCAAAAAGACAAAGTATTTCTTTTTCCTTCTTCAGTCTTTCAACAATCCCCTGGGAAAGTATCTTCAAATGCAAATGTCCTGAGCACTGAGTGGGGCTTCTCTTTTTAGTCTTCTTTGCAGGTTTGTCCTATACCCACGTAAAGATCCAGTTTAATGGTTGAAGGCAAGTAGGCTTACAAACTCTATTTTTACTTCCCAATAACCATTTATATCACACATTATATCAATAACTGTAGGCAAAAAAAACCCACCCAGTATAAATCTAGTACAACCTGATTCTAAACTCAATTCTTAAAACAGTCCAATTCTATTCTTATCTAGGCTTATCTTAATCCTTATCTAAACTATTCCATTGATACTGAATATGACCTTAGGCCTCTGATTACATCAATCCAGGGCCTTCTGTCAGCCATTTTGACATGGTCTCAGAGAAGTTCAAGGAGAGATTTTGCACCCTGACCTCAAAATGTTCACTAATCATGTTCATTTACACCATTTCAGATAGGAATAATCAAAGATAGCAACCAAGGAAAAGAATCTAAATTTTAACTTCCCAAGTCCTTTCCAGAAAAAAAACAACAGCAGTAAACTGTGTAGCCACATCTGACCTCCAGCTAGCCTAAGAGGAAAATCTACCATGAGGCAGAGGTCAAAAAAGCATCCTGGTATTAATGACATTGCTTGATAATTTCCACATTCTGTAGGGTCACCTTTCTTTGGAATAGGTACAAATATACATATTTTTTTCAGTCTGTTGGCCAGGTAGCTGTCTTCCAAATGTCTTAGCCTAGATGAATGCTACCAGGGCTTCACTAACCTATTGAAATATTTCAATTGGGATTCCATCAATCATTAGAGCCCTGTTTTCCATTAATGCCTTCAGAGAAGCTTGGACTACCTTCAGTTCCATTCTTGAGTATATATCTCTTGAAATGGTTGAATATTAACTAGTTCTTTTTGATATAGGGACCCTGTGTATCCTTCCAACTTCTTTTGATGCTTCCTTCATCATTCAATATTTTGCCCATAGAATCTTTTAATATTGCAACCTGAGGCTTGATGTTTGTCCTCAGTTCTTTCAACTTGTTATATGCTGAATATGTGCTTCTTTTGTGTGTTATTCTGAGTAAAGTAGAAACAAATCCATAGAAACTCAAATGTGTATAAGAGAGAATTTTATGTAAAGGGTAATTGTACATTAAGAAAGCATCTCATTGGAACAATACAGAGAAGATTAGCATGGCCCCTGCGCATGGATGACATGCTAATTCATGAAGCATTCCATATTTTTATTTTTGTAAAATAAAAATAAAAGAAAGCATCTCAACCCAGTCCAGTCCAACCCATAAGTTCAATATTAGCCCATATGTCCAATACCAATCTATAAAGTCCTCTTCAGACTCACTAAATATAGCATCTCAGCACTGGCAGGTGTCTCTACATGGCTTCTCTGGCTTCAGAGGTCTGGTTGCATCAGGGTAGGTCCATGTGACTTCTCCAGCTCCCAGAGTGCAGTATCATGTGTCTTGTCAGCAGAGTGTCCTCAAGGGAGTGAGCAGAGAGAGAGAAATGTCTCCCATTTCCTAGGAGGAAAATCTAGAGTTCCCAGAATTCTCAGGAAAAGGCCAAGCCCACACAGGGGCCTCATTGGCTATAGCCCAATTGATGGACTAGACTCCACCCCTTCACTCTTAATCCTCTCAAGTCCCAAATTGACACCAGATTATGTAACTACCACATTTTGGGGCCTATTCACTGTAGGTCAGGGGTTCTCAACCTTCTTAATGCCGTGACCCTTTAATACAGTTCCTCATGTTATGGTCACCCCCCCAAACATAAAATTATTTTTGTTGCTACTTCATAACTAACTTTGCTACTGTTATTCGGGAAACCCCTGTGAAAGAGTCGTTTGACCCCCAAAGGGTTGCTACCCACAAGTTGAGGACCGCTGCTCTAGGTCTTTGCACATTTCCTTACAATGCTTCATTAGGTCTTATGTTGCCTTTTGAAAATTTCTGCTTAATTCTTGAACTTCATCATTTCTTCAATTTGCTTCAGCCATTCTAGACTCTGGAACAAGTGTCAGAGTCTTTTGAAACATTCCTGTTGGCCTTTTCCTTCCTGCCTGTCTTTTTAATTACCTTCTGTTTTCTTCATGTATGATATTCTCAGTTTCATCCTACAACATGTCAGGTCTTCTCTCATCCATGTAGAGTGAACTAAATCTCTTCTTGAGATGTTCTTGAAAATTAGGTCGAATATGCTTAAGGTAGTATTTGAGCTCTTGTGGCCTTCTTTCCATTTTCTTCCACTTTGACCTGAACTGATAATGGGCAATTGTGAGCAAAGGTCAGCTCCACAGTCAGCCTCCGGTTTTCTTTTCATCATATTGAGTGCCTCCATTGCCTCTTCACACAGATGTAGTCAATTTGATTTCTATGTATTCCATCTGCTAAAGTTCCCATGTGTAGTTGTTGTTTATGTTGTTGAATAAACATGTTTATGATGAAGAAATTGGTCTTGCAAAATTCTGTCATTATATTTTGAGCTTCCTTTCTATTGCCAAAGACATATTTTTCAACTACTATTATTTCATCTTTGTTTCCAACTTTTCATTCCAATCACCAATGATAATCAAATTCAACTTGATTGCATATTTGATCAATTTCAGACTGGTAACATTGTAGAATTCTTCATTTTTTTCATTATTAATTTTAGTGGTGGGTGCATAAATTTTAATAATAGTTGTATTGACTGGATTTCCTTAGATGTGGATAGATATTATCCTATCACAAATAGCATTGTACTTCAAGATATATTTTGAAATATCCTTTTTGTTGACTAATGCAATACTATTCCTTTGAATTTGTCTTTCTCAGCATAGTAAACCATATGATTGCCTGATTAAAAATGGCTAATGCCAGTTCATTCAAGCTCATTAATGCATAGGATATTGATCTTTATGAGTTTACTTCTAATTTTCCTGAATTCATAGTTCATGTATTCCAAGTTGTAATCTTTTCAACAATTTATTGGCATATAATTCTCATATCATACAATTCAGTAGTTCAATCACAACAAAAGTAGTTGTACAATCATCACCACATTCAGTTTTAGAACACTTTCTTTATTCTTGTACTCATCATTACTAGCTCCCCATTTCCCCCTGACCTTCCCTACCAAGCCCTCAAAGATCTGTTAATGCAGTTACTAGCTCTATAGATTTAACTACCCTGGAGAGTTCAAATACAGAAAAATACAGAAAACAAACAAACAAAGTGAACAAAGTAAAACAGATACAAACCCGAATAGAAAATATTAAAAACAAGAGCAAATTTAAATGAATCAAAAGGAAGATTAAATGATAGTGTGCTAAATTTTAACCTAATTGCATCTGCAACAATCCACCAAGTTGTGATTATTAATAGATGTTCACAGCTGCTTCTTCTCATTTTGAGGCATACCCTGTCAGTAAATGAAGGTTCCTGAAAGCTGTTCTCCATCCACATGTATGCAACTCTAATTTGCATCTATTGAGTGCCTTAGTCATATTTTGAGTGCCTTCCAACCTTAGGGACTCATCTTCTGGCACTATGTCTGACTGACAGTGTCCCACTGTGATTCATGAGGTTTCCAATAGCTGCCATTGTCTCAGTGCTATTCTTACTGTGTTCAGAGGCTAATTCCTCAGAAGTGGACAGGATTTCTTTATTCATAGTCTGTTCTTAGTCTGAGAGCTCCACTGAAATCTGTTCACCTTGAAACACCAGTGACACTGTTTCCAACATCACAGCAACCAGCAAACCAACACAGTGGGACACACTGACTGTGTGGAGTGAAATTTCTTCATAAGGCTCTTCTACAAAAGTTTCTTTAATTCTTGCCGAATGATTGCATGGAACTTTGCCAATAGTAACATTATGAGAGGGGCTGTTTCCTTTTCTGTTACCATTCCTTGGGCTTAAGGATGAGCCGTTTTTGAAGCAGCAGCAGAGAGACAAACCCCGAGGATCTTGGAAGAGCGTATTCCAGATTGATGTCTGCAGCCAGGAAGACCACAGGCATGAGCACTTCACAGACGGCGGCACAGGGACTCAGCAGTGTCAAGACTTCGGAGTACCTTCTTCTTATATTGACTGGAGGCAGTGATGCTGGTATTTTGGTTTTCTTTTTATCTGGACTGAAACTATGGAACTGTGGGACAGAGTGACAGGTGGGCTGGCTTCCTGCTTCATGGAGACCAAGGTCAAAGGACCATCAGGCTGAGAGACTAAGAATCAAAGAGAAATCTGGCTACCACTTGGCTGAGAGACTGAGAACCAAGAGAGGCTAGGTTGCTGTCTGAGGAGATCAATGACTTAATTCTTACTGCTTGCTGAACCTATTAGCTTTCCTAATAGAACTGCTTAATTCTGAGTGTTATCTGTGAGTTCTTAGGGACCCTTCCAATGAATAGCCAAACCCAGCATGGGCACAGAGTGGCGTGGGAGCCAGGACAGGTAAAGATGAATGCTGGAAGCTCACCCCCTCCTTTGAGCCAGAGGGAGTCAAAAGGAGTTCAGCTACAACCTGCAATACTGTGTTTTGCTCTGACAGTGGTGGTTTGCATGTGGCTGTGATGTTGGCTGCAAACACATGAATGAGGCGAGATAGAAGGATCACTCAGCTGAGCCTAGGTTAAAGGGTCAACCCCCCAGAAATACAAACTAAGAAATTATTTCTGTTTTAAATTTCTGTTTCAGGAGTGGTTTTTACACAGCAAAACTAAAGTACAGGTTCCGAGAAGTTATAGAATCTTAGTAATCATATTAGGTGGTTCAGGTCTCCTGAATTAACTTCTGCCTGGCTACTTATAGGAGAATTTGGGCGGGGGGGGGGGGGGGGGCTTAATTGCACTGATCTTTTATTCTTTAAACTTCTTTACAACTTTTCTGAAACTGACCATCAAAACCACTGGAACCTTAAGCAAAATTAAATGTATTACTTTTAGCAACAACAACATTTTTTTAAAAAACTGGCATAACAGAAATGTTATATGTAAGATAGTTTTGAATAGTATATTCATTATTAACAACAGAATTTTTATTAAAATTCTTAGCATTTCTATTAGTGAAAAATATTTTAGTCCCTTTTGGTTATATCTTTCCATTTTCTCCTCAATATGTTTAGAATAAGCAGAAAATCATAGATTTTTTTCCTTAAGAAATAAATAATTTTTCACACTATAACTCAGGATATAAGAAAGCAGTTCCCTTAAAAATATGGAGAAAGGTTTTCTAAGAGTAAGTACTACGGAGGAATTACAGGCCTTCAACCCGAAAGTACCATAAATGCTGCTGCTGCCTCAATCCAATTTATTATAGTGCATTTTTGACCTAAAGCCAGCCCATCACCGCATCCCAGATTTCTAAACTTTCAAGATGAAAATGCATGAGTTCAAAAACCATCCTATTCCTGTTTCTTAACAAACTCATTCCATTTTTCAAAGTAGTTTATATAATCTCAGATTCACCAGAAAAGTGTATATCTTGCTTTTGGTTTTGCCTAGTGAAATTATACTTTCCTACTTCCCACAACTTTCTAATGCAACTGTACAAAAAAAATAAATTTTTTTCTACAAGTCACAAATAATGGTTCACATTGTAAGCAACACACACACAAAGAAGAAACCTGGTTCCATCTCATTCTGTGATTTATGACTAACCTCCTCTGAGCAATTCCTATTTATACATCCATTTGTCGTGTCTCTGGGTGATATATTTTTAGCAGTCACTGGACACAATATAAAGTGTCCTAATTCTCCCTCTGAATCATAGGAAAACATTTAGCAGAAGTGAAATGATATTGCCTTTTAATTTTCTTGTAGAAATCTGCAGTTTGTGTAACATGACTCAGTACAATTCTGATTAATGGGGATGCATTTTATTCTCTGAAACAACCAAGTCTACAGGTATTAAAATCACACACAATCCAAATACTGGAATTAAATACAAAGCCCTGTGAGCTCAGAATTTACTCCTCTAAGGAAAAGATTACAAAGAAATTGGAAATAAATCCAATGGTAAATTTAAAGAAGTTCTTGAACTACTGTTTTCCTCCTGCAATGGATCCTTTTGAACCTGAATTGATAAATTGCTTGGATAAGAGAACTGGCCCCAAAGTGACCTTTAGATAAGCAGTAATATAAGGAATGACTACCTTTCTGTAGCTATTTGAGTATCACATATATACATGGGGAATGATGTACAACATGGTTATTGTGTACATACAACATAGTTATCCTGTTGGGAC